ATGATTGTTAGGACATCAATTCAGCTTATCGTTTACCAAAACGAACCCTGCTGCAAACCCATCCCTATTACCCAATATCCCAGTGATTCCTCGTGGAAGTGCAGAGGTGTTCTCGGCTTCCATCAAAGCGAGTGTCACGTCAACACATTCCTACCCCTTCCTTTCTTGACCTGTGTTCGGGCGCGGCCGGCGCTGGTATTGCCTAGTTTGAGATCATCAGTTTTTACACATTGAGGATGATTGCTAGTCCCAAGCATCGTCTATTGGTTCTCTGTGTAATTACAGCTGGTCTGGCAATAACAGAGTAGCAACCGTGGGCGGTCAATCATGCTCATGCTCATGCTCATCCCTTTTCCAAAATTGGTAAAAGTTCGTCTACAAATGGTGTTAAGAACTCATTCACACTCGACGGTTTACTTGATATTTTGAACTTTTGTATATTGGCAATCCATCTACATTGATTGTTTAAACTTATTGATATATTTTCATCCACGTTAGCAAACCATTTATCTAAGCAGGCTTTAAGACCATGATGCCAATATTTGCCTCCAGCCATGTCAATACACAGCTTACCAGTAGCTTGTGGAGTTTCAAGTACGGTCCTGGGATCGAGTGGCAAATGTACATCTTTGTATTCCAGTTTTAGTAGTTTCAACAAGCCTCTCAAAGCTTGATGGGTAATATTGTGCTGAACTGCCCATGTCTTTAGAGCATCTCGGAAATGGTCGTTCTGCTGTTCAAGTTCTGCATTATTTTCCAATCTATTTCAATGCCTGCTGCAAACGTAACATTCTGGCTGTTTAATTCGATGGAACTCATTTCGTCATCAGTAGATATTGAACCTTCAGAGCTTCCAGCATTGTGAGGTTCCATCTCGGAATCTTAAATAAATATATAGAATACTTCCATATATATGTAATAAACAACTATAATTGCAAGCTTGATTGAATTATTCATACTTGAATCTGTTGATTGAATGTCCTGTTCGTTTAATGGGACCACAGCAGATGTAGCTTTTCTTTTTACACTTGAGGAGAGTTCCTTGAAAAGTTGCTCATATTTTTCGCGTTTCTTTTTGGATGCGCAGTGAAACGATCCACTTTTCTTGTATTTTTTACATATTATGGACTATAATAATCCAAAACATTAGAATGCACTGAATTCGATTCAAGCAGTAACATTTATCCAGCATTGATTTATGTTGAAGTCGCATTATTGAGACAGTCAGTATATTTGGGAGATCATTATTCAGTGTTTGAATGACATTCGGTTTGGCTCACGATTTGTTTCGATGAGTAATGATGTAAGGCATAACTATTCTTCAATTCAACATCAGGTTTAGTTAGCAAAGCTTTATAAACGATGTCGCGTTACACTAATAAACTGTATTTCAGCTAAATGTTGAGCATTGTTGGAAAAGTTATATTTCTCGAAGTTCACCAAGGGAAAAGTTCGCGAGTCATAGTGAGTTTTCGCGAACTTTTCCATCACTGATGTTGAGCTAGTTAAATCTAGTTGAATAAAAGTACTCCGGACACATTTATACAGCATTTGAATTATTTTATTTAACTCACGGTTTTATTTGCTCAATAGTAATGTAAAGCATAGCTTTTATTCAATTCAGTATTAGGTTTAGTTAGTAAAGCTATATAAACGGTGTCGCAATAGATTAATAAACTGTTGTTCAACCTATTGTTGAGCTAATTAAATTTATTCAAATAAAAAGGTTGTAAATGCTTTTACTAAGCATGCAATTTACCAAATGGAAATGTTTGAATAAATGTGAAAATGTCAATTGATAATAAGGTTAGCTCAAAGTTATAACGGCGCCGGTGGTGTAGTGGTAAGCGTGATTACCTCTCACCCCAGCAGGCCTGGGTTCAATCCCAGTCGGCGCCGCCGGGATATTCTGAGGCATAACATCTCTGATCACGCCTTCCTTCGGATGGGAAGTAAAGCCGTTGGTCCCCGGTTCATGAGTTGATGGGTCGATAGGTAGGGTCCAGGTATGGGAGCTGCCTTCCTGGCACGTCGGTAGCATTGGTGCTCAGCACGGAAAACAAGATCGACGGAAAAAAACAAACCAAAGGAAGCTCAAAGTTCAGCAAGATTTCTTATTAAGCTATGAAAGCAGTATGTAATTCAGCTTTTATAAAGCATGTATGTTTATTTACAGCTTTGATTTGTCTGTTAGGAATGCTGCCAAGTAAACAGACGATCACGTGGCATACATCGAGAGTGGTCTGCTTCTGTCGACAGCCTAGCAATCACGCTTACCACTACACCACCGGAGCCGCTTTTTTTTATCAAAGGTGACTTCTAAATTTATTTACCTAATTTATTTACTACGTAGCATTACGTCAGATTGTTGAGGAAAAACGTCCTCTTTTAGTTTTCATTTACTCATTTATGTCAAAGAATCAGTTCAATTCAACCTTCGTACCAACGAAGTTATTGATGGCAACTGGTTCTTGGGCATTACAGTTGTACGTGGCATGAAGATGGGTAATTTTGGTGTTTTGTATCATTCTCCCAGTTCTAGTGACCAGCGTTTTGTTGAAGTTTTAGAGAACTGGCTTGAGACATTCCTTGATTCTAGTAAATTAAATATATTGGCTGGTGATATTAATATTAATTGGCGTGATAACCATAATTCGAATCATTTGAAGCGTTTAGCTAAGTTTTTTTTAAATTTAAAGCAAACGGTAAATGAGTATACGCGTATTTCCAGGCACAGTAGAACTTTAATTGACCACGTTTATTCCAATTTTGATTCCATTTGTTCAGTTACGGATACTGATTTGAAAATAACCGATCATGAGACCTCAGTGATTAATGTCTTAGACCATGTTAACGATAACGATAATTTTGTAAAATTGAAGTGCTGGAGGAAATATTCGAAACAAGCTGTTTCGAATCTTGTTGAGAGAAGCCTGGATTTTCCATTTGCGGCCGGTAACTTAGGTGAATCTACAGCTGTTCTTAATAACGCTTTGAAAACGTGTACCAATCAACTAGTTGAGCAAAAGTTTGTTTCTTTGAAAAACTCGAACAGCTGGTACAATTTGGATCTTTTGCGTCTTAAACGGAAAAGGGACAAAGGTACAAAAAGTTTTGTAGATCAAATAATGACAATCATTGGAATAGGTACACAATCGCGCGTAATAAGTATTCACAATCGATAAAGAAAACTCGTTGTGAATATGTACAAAGGAAGATTGATCAGCATCAAAACAACAGCAAAGAGTTATGGAAAATTTTGAAATCTTTATTAAAACCTAGTGATTGCAAACCGCGGTCCATAACTTTTAATGGCACATTAGAACAGTCAGAACAAGTAATTGCATCTAAGTTTAATGATTATTTTGTTGAAAGTGTTTCATTGATTAATCAATCCATTGAATTGGTCGATGAACCTGACGAAATAAAACAGCCAGTTAATAGTAGTTGTAGATTTGAAGTTTTTCACCCAATTACATTAGATGAACTTAGAGTTATTTGTTTTTCATTAGGAAAATCGGCTGGAGTAGATAATGTTAATGCTAGAGTTATTCAAGATTGCTTTCATGTCATTGGCCACATCTTGCTGGACCTTATTAATGAATCATTACAAACTGGACATGTGCCACAAATTTGGAAGGAATCCTTAGTGGTCCCTATTCAAAAAGTTGCTGGAACGATTAAAGCCGAAGAGTTTCGTCCCATCAACATGGCGCACACATTAGAGAAAATTTTAGAACTTGTTGTTAAAGGCCAGCTGTTGGAGTATTTGAATAGCAACTCTTCGTTGATACCAGAACAATCGGGATATCGGGAAGGTCATTCTTGTGAAACTGCGTTGAATTTGGTGTTAGCAAAGTATTTTTCAGATAAATCTTATTATTGCAGGTAACCTTTGGGGTCATTCAAACAATCGCATCGTTCAAGATTTTTATGAATTAAAATAAATTTAGCGAGGGTTCACTTTTACCCCTTACTCCCCTATAAAGTGTGCCCCGTATTCCCCTAATATCTCATGAAATGTTGTTTAAAGACATAGTTTTCTAAAACCATGCATAAAGTGCTTATGTTTTACGAAAAATAGAGCTGTGAAAAAACATTTCCTCCAAAAAGTAGGGGAAAATGGGGTAAATGGTCCAAAACACATACCTACAAGGCTCTCCGGTCTATGGGACCACGTGCAATCGATTCCCCGGACGATTTCATTTCGGAAAAGTCGTTTTTCATGGCCGGAATTCAGCGTGCTGTTGAGATATTGAATTTTTGGGTAATTTTGGACTGATTTTTGCCCCTAGTGCAGTGGGGGTTAGAGGGAATACAGACACACACATCAGTAATCATGTCGATTATTATTTTTTTTTTCTTTGGTTTGTTTTTTCCGTCGATCTTGTTTTCCGTGCTGAGCACCAATGCTACCGACGTGCCAGGAAGGCAGCTCTCACACCTGGACCCTACCTATCGACCCATCAACTCATGAACCGGGGACCAACGGCTTTACTTCCCATCCGAAGGAAGGCGTGATCAGAGATGTTATGCCTCAGAACATCCCGGCGGCGCCGACTGGGATTGAACCCGGCCTGCTGGGGTGAGAGGTAATCACGCTTACCACTACACACTTAGTTTATTTCACCGAGGCCGGCAAAATAAATTGCCGAGAATCCAACAGCCGAAATTTCGTTAAAAATTTCGGTAAAAGTATAGAATACCGAACGCTTGGTAATTATCAGTTTTATTCGACTGTCAAATTTTACCGAGAACATCGGTATTTGTATACCGAGCGTTCAGCTTTTTTTTACCGAAATACCTCAAAACAAGAATAAATCTTTTACCAATCCTTCGGCAAACCGTTCAAGGAAAGATTTAGCGTTTGCCGACTATCGTCGAAATTTCAACTTAAATTAATTTGATTATTCAGAATAGCATTAATAATAATACCAAATTAGTGGAAATTCTGTAAACAAGTTTTTATTCCAATTATTAGCGCAACAACACATTATTACTCACTCTTCGAGTGATCTAACAAATTTTTCACCAGTCGTAGAAATATTGTCTACAGAGAAAATAATTGCTCTGAAAAATATAAAAAACTGTTTATCACTCGGTGCACATGCCGTCCCGAATACGTCGAAAGCCTTGCAAAACACGCTGAATGCATGGACGATGTTACCACCTAGCGGTATATTGATACTGTTCCATGAAATAAAGCATTCTCCCTCGGTCATGGGACTTCCTCTTACAATTATAACAGGAACTTTGTAGTCGATGGGTAGTGGGTCATCCAACTGAAATACAAAAAATAAACATTATAATTGAGAAACCAACTTATTTTAATCAGGGGAATTGTTCAGGTCTGCAGATGCATAAAAGAAAAAGTGGGTCTATTGTGAAAAAAAGTAGGCGGGATGAATAGAAAGGCAGTTTCTTTTAATTGTCTATTGCTATTTACCTTAATCCAATTGAGTAGTCGCTTCAATGGGTTGTCCTTGGCAGAATCTTCGTCGCGCACACGTTTTGAGCCTCGAGTAGGGTTTTTAGCTCGGATAATAGCTAGCGCTCTCAAGAAATCTGTAGTACGAAATTATGTTAAATGAGATTTTATGAAAATTGGTACAATATTACCCTCGACATTACCGTTAGATATTTCCCTGAACATGTGTTGGTAGGTTTTAAGCACTTTTGCTTGCCAGACATTCCATTGTTCTGCAAAATCCACGGTTTGGTTTCGCATTCTTTTGAAATCATATTCAACCTATAACAAATATTGCTACTATTTATACTGACGTTTTAGTGCATTAAGTGGTCATACTTACTAATTCACCCTCGAATGCCGAACTAACGGGAAATTCTTCGAGAAAAGAGTGGAAGTCATGATTTTCACGATACTGTGACCGATACTCGAATGTAGATGTCCATAACTGGTTAATCCTGCTTCTGTTTTCGGAAATCGGGACAATAAATTTAAGTTCTTCCACCTGAAACAATCAAAATTACCGAATTTTAATGGTTAATATTACTAATATTTTTTTGTTTTCGAGCAGTGTAATACAGTAATCAAATCTACAAGTTCGAAAGTAAAAGGAGCATACAAGCTTTTTGTACACAAACCTTTGTAGGCCTTTTTCTCACCAACCGAAGGTTGCCCACGTAAACCAACATCATCGGTTCGGGGAAAATTTTCTCTACCCGTTGATGTTGATGGTTTGCGTGGGTTTCATGTGGGTGACGAGAATAGGGCATAAGAAGAATTGTTTACAAAAAGCTTGTATGCCCTTTTCACATGTTGTTCTTTAATACAAGCTTTTTGTAAACAAACCTTTACAGGTCCTTTTCTCGCCAACCGAAGGTCGCCCACGCATAGCATCAACATCAATGGGTGGGAAACTTTCCTCTTTTCATATATTTCTCTGAATTAGACCCTATTTCTAGCTCAATCTAGATTTTACTATCTAATCAAAGTCCTCGATTGAGCTGAAATAAGGGCGTAAATGTTTTTGTAAATATGTAATAGCTTCTCACGAAAATTTCTGAGAATTCAAAACTCAGCCACGCAGATCAGGTAGGGACGACTTCTCCTACACAATGGTTGTGTTGGTGTCCGTGGATGTGTTATGAATTCCCAGAAATCTTTGAAAGAAGTCATAGTTTACAAAGCCAGTTACGCCCTTCTTCCAGGTATATCTAGAACTTATCGTTGATAAAACTTATCAATAAAATAAATCATTTACCATAGCAAAAAGATCAATTTCTGGCACTTGAACAACTGGAAGTTTGACATGCATCCCTTCGTCGACTTTGGTTAACCTTCTGCGGAACACCCGCGCTTTAGCTCGCTTCGCTAGGTACTCCAAATGGTAGTGAATTTTACCAGCATGTTTTCCATCACCACGTCCGTTAATATAAAACCACAATGCCTAAAATAGTATTCAACGGTTTTAGTTGCCTCTTCAAAATTATAGTAACTCTTAAAAATTACATGTGGTACGTCCGAAACTGACGAAGCCAAAATGGGATACGATTGAACCAATGACTTTGCAACAATATTCTTGTAAAATGTAGAGGCACGCCTAGAACGAAAATTAAAAATCGATTGAAATGTTCCATGCGATGATAATTGTTATTATGATGTACTTACACTTCGTAGTTAGACTTCAAAAATCCGCAAAGTAGGTGTGTTATTCGTTTTATTGTTTTGTCATTGGGTTTTTTGTTCTCTTGGAGAAGTTGCATCAAAGCTCTTCCTTCGGCTGACCTCTCCAAAATAATGTTAATATCAATTTCCTAGGAAAATAACGAAACGTATGAAGAACTGATTTTGAAAACTTTCATTTTATAATATAAACAATATAATTTTTGACGTCTTTCATTTGCTCACGTTCATGGAGATCAATTAAAAATTGAGTAAGATTTCATTTATTTTTCCAACAATAATGGAGATTTTCAAAAATGAATTTTAATTTTACTCGAAAATTGGGTGTGCTTGATTCAAAAACATCATAAGTACCCAATGTTGTGCACCGTGTACACATTTTTGAGTAGTCTTTTAACAAAAACGAGATAATTTCTGCTTAATTTTAAATTAATTCGGACGACTGTTTATACGCTTCAATATTTCAATTTAGATGACATGATACACATTTATGAGTACTGTGTAATTTCAGTGTTGCTTTCAGAAAACAAATCACGCGGAACACGCGAAAATGGCCTGTCAGTGTTGATAGATTTTCTTCATCGATTTTTTCTTTCACGAATAACGCTACTACAAAATTTGTTCTGACATCGGTTTGTTTACAAAATCAGATAGGACCTTTTGAAATGTTCGTCTAGAGGCTACTTAGCAATGTTTTCATTGTTTTCGTTACTAACACAAAGAAGAACCACGTTGACCTAAAGCCCTACAGTAAAAGTATGGACGACTGACACCACAAAACTGAAAAAAGCTGTTCCAATCGAGCAAAGCGGTGCATTTTGACGGTTCGATTGGAACAACTTTTGACAGACGTCCATACTTTTACTGTAGGGCTTTACGTTGACCTGGAGCTCGAAGTGGGACGTGGTAAAACCTTAAAGCACTCTACTAGACGGCTTTAGGTAAAACTAAAGCACTCTAGTAAAAGTGTGGACGACTGTCACCACAAAACTGAAAAAAAGTTGTTCCAATCGAGCAAAGCAGTGCATTTTGACGGTTCGATTGGAACAACTTTTGACAGTCGTCTATACTTTTACTAGAGGGCTTTAGGTGAAACTGGTAAACCAAGAAGAAAGTCGACGAAGAGAATCGATAAACGAAGATTGGATCATTTCTAGCGTTTAGAATTATAAGGGCCTAACTGCGATGATCGATTCTCTTCATCGATTTTCTCTTCGCATTACCACAGTTAAGTGAACAATTTTTACGAAATTATTATAATACAGTGAAGTGAAGAGATGTATTAGCAAGCAAAAGCAACATAAAACGCACCGAGAAATGTTACTCCAGTCTATTTATTAATCAAAGAGAAAATCGATTAGAAAATCGATCATCGCAGTTTGGCCCTTATGATTCTGAACGCCAGATTTAAAATGTTACGTGAGAAATGTCCGTTTTTCAAAAACAAAAATGTAAATATTGTTGGCCTATGCATCAAAGAATCAAAATGGCATTGTAATCGATAAAGTGATTTAATTTGTATCGGTTGTTTTTCCCTCAAGAGGTCCGAAATAATCTCACAGGTTGATTTTGTGTGGACCGGCACGGCAAGTACGGCTGATTGCTCGTCGGTCTGATGAAAACATTTTCATCAGATTTTACGATACCTTCGATGTCCTTATGGAAAACGACACCCTCGACTGTGCTTATTCAGGTAAAGTTTTAGATTAGTAAAGATTCATATATTGTGTGAACTATATCACTTAAGTGCAGTGTGCTATTTTTTTTTAATGAAATGTTTTAATAAACAGTGAAATTATCTGATGATGGCTTTGATTAGGAAAGCACACAAGACAATGCTTTTTACTGTGAATATACGAAATGAAAGGATATGTGATCATACCTGCTCCATGGTGATTCCAGTGTAAGGGTTTGTTTCGCTGTTAGATCCTTGAGGTGCATTATCTCCATTATTTCCATCGGAATCAGACTCTATTGGCTCTTCAGTGGTGTTAACTGTATCTTCTTCGGTGTGCTCCAAGTACTCTTCTTCTATTATGTGTTCAGTCGAAGTGGATTTTTGAATTTTAAGGATGATTTTGATGAGCTTCGTAGACAACTTTAGACGTATGAAGTCTGTATCGTCCAAGGACATGAACAATTCAGGTTCGTTAATTTCTTCGTCGTCTGGAATGAAAATGATGAATAAATTTAAAGTAAGAGCAGCTATTTCTGTGAAGCAATATTACTCAGATATACTCAGTAATCCTGACAATAGAAACGACGGGATATAAATTTGGTTTGGCTATTATACGGTGTCCAGAAAGCAAACGTGGTGTGTTGATGAATTTCTGTATTTTGAAGCAGTCTATCTTCCTCCAAAAGCTCCACTTCATATGCTTCGTAGAAATCATTGTACCCAGTTGTTTCACAAATTTTCATCAGAAAATTAATGCAATTGTTCACAATAACTATTTCGCGAATGACAGCAAATATCGGATACAACATGTTGTTGTGATTTTTTATAGAGACAATCAAATTTGATCGAAATTCGATTCCATTGATCGATACAATCTTCGGTGTGAAAACGAACTCCTCTTGACTTTCATGTAGAAAAAGGCTGCTGAGAGTTTCATTGCGATGTATTAACTTGCCAGTTGTGTAATGAATTTTATCTGTAAAAGGATTGTCAATAATGTCCAATACCATGCTAAATCCTTGACGCTTTGCCAAACTTTTGCAAATATTCTTAAAATTCCGGCATGTAGCAGACTGACTTTTGCATGGCTTATTTTTTTGTTCAAATGGAAAGCAATTGAACTGCTTCATGCTGCCGCTCTTTCGAATGCAGTACGGATAATGTTCTAGATGATGACTTTTTTTGATTCGTTGATCAAATTTCGTGTAAAATGAATGTTGAAATGAGCTTATATGATCTTCTAGTTCAGCGAGCAAATAATCCGACACGACTGGGGAGCTCAGAATCCTTACAATATTAATCATCCGTCCGATTAAGGACATATACTGGCAATCCGCTGGAACCAAGTGCCCGAAAAGGAACGGAAATGATCGAAGATGTAGAAGATTTTGAGTAGCCGTCTGTTTCAGTTTACAGGCTTTTGGTCTGTTCAGCATTTCCTCCGTGAAGTTTGCTGAGGGTTTGTTTTTCTTGTCAACATATCCATAAGCATATGTATTAATGCGGTAATTAATGTAAGATACATCGATTTTAATGTCTTTGCTTTTGAAGTAAAAACTCAAAACTAATTGTATCGTCAAGGGTACAATTCCTTCCGCAATGTCGTGCATCACGTCCAGTGCATAATTTTCACAGACATGAAAATTTTCCAATTCATTCAGTATGCATCCTTGGGGATGCAGGCCGCAATCTGATGTTGAAATTTCCCCGTTTTCCAACTGCGTTATCTTAGTATCGTACCATTGCTTTGTACGGATGGGATGCTGGAAATGAGGATCTTCTTTGAATAAAGGCCGTGAAATCGTACAAATTCTACAAAAAAAGTTGGCCCCCGGTCCAAGCAAATTGAAGACTTCGTGAACAGCTAACGTGTCACCACAAAACACCGCCAAGGTAGCTCTGAGGACAAACTTTTCTGAATTGTAGTATACCGTAACCCCTTTTTCAAGCTTTTTTAAGTCGGAAATTAATGGTTGTAATATTTTGTTGTACCCGTGCTTCTTCGCATCTACTGATGTACAGTAGAGCGTTGGGAAGATGCTTTTTGGAGAGCTATTATACTTGTCCGGAAAGTTTTGAACTTTGAACGCAAAACAGGACACTTTGTTGATGCCTGCTCTGCTACTCAACGCGTTTCCTACTTCTAAATCGTCCTGATAAATACTCAGTCTGATTGAGTTTGGATGTTCTTGAAAATAGGCACTCGTTTTATATAATTCGCCAGTACAATAAGATCCATATTCTTTTATTCCGCCAATAGTTCGCTGCTCATTTTCAGATTCCTCTAACAATTTACGGTTTGCTGGGTTTCTGAAGATTAACTCCAAAGTTTTGATAATAGGAATATACGAAAAAGTTTCATTCACTCTAACTTTTTTGTGCACTCCTTGGACATGGCGCACATCTTCGCGATAAGCAAGCATTTTCTCTTCGGGCTGCGGAATGCTAACAACTGTTCTCTCCAAAAATTGTATCCGTTTCGGATGAGTTGTTACGTCAATTACGTCAGTAAATTGAAATTCGTTGAGAAAATCTACAGCAATTTTCTCCTTCATATGTACATTCTTTTTCTTTAAAAAAGAAACAGTAATATTCCTCAGACGTTCCGTTGCCATTGCGATCAAACTTTCGCACAATTTTATGACTTCTGAAACTTTTGTCTGAGGTAAGGCAACATCGCCGGCAAGTCGACAAATTCCTAAACCAGCAGTTCTCTTTATTTGCTCCATAGTTATATCGTCTTCGATGAAAATTTCACTATCTTCTTCATGGGCCTTATTTGCTGAGGAATTCTCTGCGGGTGGATTTGGCTGTGATTCTAACCTAGCTTTTTTTAAAGGAAGATTGAACTCAATATTGAGGGGGGGGCGTTCAGGGGAGCAATGATTTCATCTGGTATCGCTGGATGTTCTTGAATAATGTGCCGTTTGAGAGATGTGAAGGGAGCATATCTCATGTTACACTTTGAAAAAGTGCAGTCATATGAAATCATGTCTGCATTAAAATGATTTTCTTTGAGGTGAAAATTTATATGGCGGTGTAGCCCATCAGCGTGCCCCGGAACTAGTTGCTTGCAAAAAAAGCAGCGTAAGCCATTTCCTATCTGTATAATCGAAAAAAAAATAAAGATTTAGTACTTACAGAATAGTTGACGCAGTTTTTCGCTTACAGCTTCTCCTTCACCATGGATTTGCCGCAATATTTCCTGCATTTCTCACTTTATTTAATTACACGCACTATAAGCAAGCCTATAAGCACGCACCAGACGACTTACTCTCTGACAAAATGGCTGACAATGAATGTGCACCACTGACAGATATTTACTCTTATTTTCAATTGCCGAGGTTCGTCACTTTATATTACCGAAGTCGGTGAAGCAAGATTTTAACGAAATTCATGGTAAACAACATTACCGAACTTCAGTAAATACTTTCATATAACCAAAATTCGTTAACTGTATATACCGATATTCAGTAAAAACATGTTTTCTAACGAGAAATCAGCAAAAATCGTGTTTTACCGATTTAGTTCAGCAATCTGTTTTACCGAGATAAAAATATAAGATTAAGTGTGTACACCACCGGCGCCGTAATGTCGATTATTGATTTCAGTGAAAATTCTATTTTAGGAGCAGTAATGCTACCCAACTAAAAATCATAAAATTTTCGTTACACACTTCATCTAGCTCGGTAAAATCTCCAAAAGCCGATTTCCTCGGCATTTACTTTTGCTGATATCTACGCAAAATATCTGTTTGTTAGCTGAGATTTCAGCAAAATGTTATTTGATAGCTGAGTCTCGGCAATTGTTTTACTGAGTCTCAGCAATATAAATTGCAGAACTACTCGGCTGTTGGAATCTCGGCGAAAAAATTTAAGTGTGTAGAATTATGTTGGCTGGACATGCGTTTATAGGTACATACTGTGTCCCTTATTCACAGAAAAAAATCTGAATTTTAACTATCGCGTAAAATTTCCTTCGTTTAATTTTGAGATTGCACAGCATCAGCAAGAAGACTCGCTGAGGAAAAGGTAGCCCGGGAGTATAAGGAATATCTGGACAACAAGCATACACTCTAAAAAATCTTCACATCCGATTTACGTGAATTTCACGTACCTGATCTGTATTCAGAAAATCTCAAATGTTACGTGATTTTAGTAACTTTGACCTGCATTGCATGTCATGTCCACTAAAAATGGTGGTAAAATCGACCGCATATTCACGTAAACAGATTTCGTGTATTTGTGTTTGTGTGTTTGGGACTTCGATATTTCCGAAAAACGGGATTTACGTGATTTTCAGGTACACAAACAAAATCAATATGGCGTCACCGAGCGTGGTGCATTTTTTTGCATTTTTTTACTGATATCTCAGCAAAATTTATGTTTGTTAGCCGAGATTTCGGCCAAATTCCCGTTTGTTAACTGAATCTCGGCAAATTTTTCACTGAGATCCAGCAAAATAGATTGCCGAGCTGCTCGGTGGTGCCCATCTCGGCAAAAAAATCTAAGTGTGTGGAAGAGCACTTCAATGATTCAAAATTTTCCAGCAGCTTGCTGCAAATATTGGACGGTAATTTTTTTGATTTATAATTGTATGCCGCATTTTTCTAGTTTTATAATTTCAGACGGTGGCATCAGCATTTTGAGTCTGCAAACCTCGCTGCAAACAGTTGTTAAAATTTTGTCAGAAATAAAAAAGACTCATACACGTTTCTACCACAACAATCAATTAGTCATTAATTTACAATTTTATGAGTAGTTATAAGCATTAATTTCAACACGTGGATTTTATATCCGCCCGATAAAATTGCATAATATTGACTGCTTTTATATATACGTTCCATTATTATCATTCAAAATTCACGTACAAATTACGTGAAAAGCATTTTAAACAAAACGGAATGTCACGTAAAAGTTACCAGTTGTCCAGTAGTTTTCACCCCGATTTCACGTACGCAGTATGTGGAAATCAGGTCTTATTTACCTGACTAATCACGTAGATAATCGAAGCTGGATTTTGATCGGCTACGTGTAATTCCGGTAAAAGTTACGTGAAAAATAGGGAGGACGAAAACCACCTATGTTTTCACGTAAATCGGACGTGAAGATTTTTCAGAGTGTAAGAGTCTGAAGAACCCGTGTGAGCGAAAAAAGGATCAAGCTGGAGCTCTAACTTCTCTCGTTGTCGGATTGAAGAATGGGCGCAAACAACAATCTCTATACCCTTAGAGATAGCTCAGGAACAAGCCCGTGAACAAGACGGTTTGCAAGAACTACAACGGCAAGAACAGTGGCGTCAAGAGCAGCTTCTGCAACAACAACAGCAGGAAAAGCAAATATTTAGAGCCGGAGATGAACCAGCGTCAGAATATTTAGATCCACACCGCAAGAGAGCACGATGCGGACTGTCATTGGAACTTTTGTCGTAGATTCACCACAACTAGTGGAGGACGAGTCATCGAAAAATGTACATAATTTAATCACCATGTAATATTTTGCTAACAAAATCTAGGTTGAAAGCGATAGATTGATGGATACAAATTATAAGCATATCGGTTATTTATTTGTTATTGAATAAATTGTATTAGGCCGACCCACCCTTTTTCCATCAAAATATGTTTCGATGTTCTTGTTGCTGATTGTGTTTTCCATTATCCTCCAATCAGTCGAATAAAAACCGAAAGAGCAGATTTCGTTATCGGCACACATCAGATAAAAATTCTATACCATTTGAAATACATGTGCATTCCTTTTTAGACAATTAGGGTTATTGCAACAGTTCCATGAAATTCCATGCTCCACGAATGAACTTCCTTCAAAACAACAACCCTAGCTCAACAATAAATAATAAACTTAAAACCCCCCCATTTCAGCAGCGAAGTTGAACGTTCACATTTGTACACACCCGTGTACCCGATCTGCTGTATGGATGATTCACCGGCTGAGTAGATTTACCGATAAACTGCGCGTTGCTTATCTAAGATATGCACGACGATGACGACAACGAGCGACATACAGGTAGATATTTACCTGCAGTACAGAACACAGTCAATCGGGTTTGCCGCGCTTCATTAGTCTCCAATCGCGACACTTTGGCCGGAATTGCGGCACACGAACCACGAACATCCATCTCCCGGTGTTGAAGCGTGATATTGTTGTGAAACATATATACTCTGGAGAATGACACTTTGCGGTCGGTGACAAAACTCGAAAGATAGTGTAGTGATAGTGGTTCGTGCGACTGGGATTAGGCTCGTGCTGGTGTACTGCTGGTTTTTGGCGATTGTATTGAATTGGAAGTCTCGTACCGCTGTTCACTCAGAAATCAAGATGGGATGTTGCTGTAGCAGTTGTAAGTATCGGTGATTTTCTACGATAGGGGGGATTAGCAATGTATCCAAAATTTTCCGCATGATATCAGCTGACACAGGTTGGCGAAATCATTGATAAGTGAGGGTTGGAATCAATCGATGGCACTGGCGATAAGAAGCCATTGCTGGGACCAGTCGAAAACAAAATTAGAAGTCATGATTATGAAGCGTGACCCAACTTCAAAGGCATTTTCCTCTGTGCTGTGTAATCTGAGACTGCGAATAGTTTCCAATGAAGTCGAGTTAAATGCGTCATCCGTGAGAAGAACTCGTTTTGTGAGCAGAGTTGTAACCCTAATGGGATGCTTCGATTTGTAAAATTACAAAGTGATTCATCATACTAAATCTCATCTGGGTTGTGAAAATTCTTTAAAAAACCGTCATCATCGCAGTGTCAGCTTATTACTACTATATGCTCATCAGAGTAATTGAAACAAATGAAAACAAACCCTTGCACGATTCTATTTCATAAACGATCTCATCACTTTATCGTGGGCCACCGTCAGGGTGTTCGTCACTGGATCATGCACACCGGTAAACACATCTAGGATCGAATTCCGGCACTCGTGAAACACCACGTGGCACGGGGCACCTTCCCTGCCTAGCTCCTCTGCTCGATAATACTCGTTATCACTATGCTCCGAAAGTGGATCCTCGGTGGTTGTTGGCCTAAAACAAAAATGTTTCAAACTGATTATTCACCCGATATCGCCACAATCACTCAAGCATTCTCACGTGAACATTATGTGCAAAAGCTCCGCAAATACCCCGCCCGTGTGGGTAAACTGCGCGCTCGCTGCCTCGCAAATACTCCGGAGAACGCATTCCCGTCCTCCGGAACCGTAGACTTCGCCCATTTTCTCCAACGCCTTGTACGTGGTCCAGCGCGAACTGTCCGCATTGTACCCCTCGGTCGGGGGATCCATACTAATCGGTAAATTCATCTTATTCATTTCCCGGTATATCTTCTCCTCATCCTCGTCCAGCCAGTAGTTATCGTCTCCGTCTTCGAAGTAGTCATCTTCATCACTTGCCTGATCCCCGGTTGGCAGCGATTCAGTGTCGATTCGTACATCCTTTGCCTCGTAGGCCTCGTAGTGATCCAGCGAAGTCGTGGTGACGGCCTCCCGTTTTTCGAAAGACCTTCTAGTGTCGTTCCACCCTTCGATGTTCACAGGCTGCAGTTGAGCTACCGTTGTCGGAAGAAAGTAATATGCTTTCAAAACCCATCCCGTGGTAACGGAGTTGGGAGTTCCCAGCGGGATACCGATGCCGCTGACAAACTGATGGCGAGTGGGCGACGTTTTCGGGACGACCAAAAATGGTTTCCCGTGGAACATAAACCGTCCTTCTTCCTTTCCACCGTCTTCACTTGCGAGAACAACTGCCAACAGAAGAAGCCCAACTAGGCGGAATTTACTGTTCCAAAGCATGCTTTAGCGCTTGGGACGACGGATGCTGCGACACTGATTAAGATGTTTCAGTTTAGTGATCTGAATTAATCTGTCCGGGGGAAAAGGTGCTAACGAAGTTAGCATTAATTAAACAGACTACGATGCATGTCGATAGCTGCTGTAGGCATCAGAGAACATTGCTAGCGTTCAGATTCATTAGGGCCTAACTGAAACGATTGATTCCCTCCTTTATCGGTACCAAATTGGTACTGTTCTTCTTCTTCTTGTTCGCATTTCAAGCTTATTGCTTAGCGCATATTAGCTTATTGCGTGCTCTGGGAATCGAACCCGCCGCCTCCGGCTTGGTAATACCGTGCCTTAATTGACTAGGCTATGAGGCCCCTAACTTGGTACTGTTAGCTGTAGTAATTCAGAGAAAAAAAATCGGTCATCTCAGATAGGTCCTTTTGATTCTGAACGCTGGAAATATTGCTTAGATCAGACTTTCGCCAACCTAGATTTAGATTTTTGGAACAATCTCAGCAGGTCAATAACTGTGTCAAATTTGTTCTAATTGATTGTGCGTTTCGTGTTATAACCCATCGGGAACCGTAAGATTCTCCAGGACTGACTGGTTAGAGTGGTTCAACTTATCGATTTTGCTCTACCAAGCTTAATCGATTTCAAATCAAATCCTGGTAACTCTCGCAAAATTTGAGCTCATTTGGATTCGAACCCATACTGCAGTGGCTCTTTGATTTTTATAGCATGAGCATGAGCATGAATGACCGCTTACGGTTGCTACTCTGTTATTGCCAGATCATCTGTAATTACACAGAGAACCAATAGACGATGCTTGGGACTAGCAATCATCCTCAATGTGTTAAACATGGTGATCTCAAACTAGGCAATACCATCGCTGGCCGCACCCGAACACAGGTCAAGAAAGGAATGGGAAGGATTGTGTTGACATGATACTCGCTTTGATGGAAGCCGAGAACACCTCTGCACTTCCACGAGGAATCACTGGGATGTTGGATAAGAGGGTTGGGTTTGCAGCAGGGTTCGTTTTGGTAAACGATAAGCTGAATTGATGTCCTAACGATCATATAACGCGAAGGAGCTTGGGACTAAACCCACGGTATTCTGCTCAGTAAGCAAAAACGTGTGCCACTAGGCAGACGAGCACCTTTTTAATCACCGAGTTGCTGTTATTACCATGTAGTCATATTAACAAATAAAACGATTGACGAATCTTGAATGTGGATGGGCCTGAGATTAGACTCATGATGTTCTGCTCAGTAAGCAAAAACGGTTGCTCTAAGGCCACCGAGCCCCTCATATCACATAATACCGTTGCTCAAATTTGTGTATCCATTCAAACCCGGAGCCAACGACAACAAAGAGTTTCGCAAAATACACGATACACAAGCGATTTTACCATAAATCTCTTTGATATGTAAGGACCTGGGACCGCGTTTTTCTGCTCAGTAAGCAGGCCACTGTAGCCGACGATCTTTCAAATCCGAAAACTAAAAACTACGAAAAAGTACTTAGGCCTAGACTTAGGCCTTCATTAAGTTCCACTTTCACGCGACGTTCAATGACAGGGTCCTATCCAGGATTACATCTGAAAAATCCAAATCTGGCCAACGCCCACCTCAAACTTAAACCTGTTCTAATCCACCTGAAATGACTAACGAATGGAAGACTGTGACTACCCAGCCTTCAGTGATGGAAAAGTTCGCAAAAAATCACTATGACTCGCGAACTTTTCCCTTGGAGAACTTCGTGAAATATCGCGAACCTTTCCAACACTGCCAGCCATGCAATAGTCTCATTCCGTGCCTTATGGCATATTGATGATTCTATTGCGCTCATCTTTTGGCACCACCCAGGGGAGACTTGGTTCTGTACCCAATGCTTAACTTATCTCCATTCCACTCAGCTACTCCCAATTTCTTGTGATATAGTGGGCGGAATATTATTATATGAGACAATTTAATGCAGACGTCTTTCCAAATTTGGCAGATCGACAGGTAATCGGTGAGTTACCACGATAGTTGCTATTCAACAACTCGAAAACGTCCCATCGTCAACGCCTGCTATGAGAATTTCCCATTGCAGACGCCAACGAAATGACGTCATCGAGCTATCGATCAACTACCCTGGTTATCGCCTGGTACCTTATAGCACGATGCTAGGAAGCGAACCGGAAGAATCGGAGGGGTTCCTCTCCCCCTGATATTTTTTACACTACATTCTAATCCTAAAAACATGCCTACACGAATAAAATCTACTAAGAAAATAACAAATTTAAATATTTACAAATAAAGCAGTGGTGAGTATGTTGCCGAGCATGCGACCAAAACAAAAACAAATCATAACAGAAAATGCACACGCTCGTTGCAAACACGTTAAAAGGGTGGGTTATTAATTGTCACCCTAGACGAGGGTTACACTGCAAATCGATCATGTCCGGCTGCAGTGATAAGTTTTTTTTTAAAATAAACTGGAATAACTTCCGAAGAGAACTCTTGCACTGTTCTCCAAAAGCTTCTGATTTCCAGAGGATATAATTCGCTGCACTTGATGTTGCAGGACATTTTCAACAGTTTTGTACATATTCAATTATTTCGAAGTGTCGATGTGCCACGATGCGATTTTAGGATCAGTTTGCGTTATTGTTCGTCGAGCAGTTCAAAGCCTAAGAGGAAGAGGATACAATACGGGGACGAAAACGAACTACTTTTCTGTCAAACGCGAACCAGCTCGTGATTGGCCGATTTGAAGTGCGTATGAAAGAGATAGAGATAGAGGTAAAAGAGTAAGAAGCCAGTTGTCTCCTCTTCCTCTTAGTTCAAAACGTATAATATGGCGCCAATCGCCACCGTGGTCACCACTACACAAATTAAAACGTACCACGTGTACTTTTTCATGCAATGCATTATCAGCATTCACACACTTTCGAGCATTTTTCAACGCATTAGGTTTCGAAGTGCATTTTCAACGCATTAGTTTTGAAAGTACATTTTCAAACGCATTGAGAAGCATTTTTATCAATACGCATTTTGGATTCAGTAAATTTCATAGTGATCTGCCCCTCGATTGAACCATAAAATTGATTCTTAAATTTTTCAAAATTGTCTGCGAAGGCTGATTTAAGTGAGCCTGGCTCGAGAAAGTGCCGATTTTCCAAAGGTTACCCAGTTTAATGTCCTCAGGGTTCGGGTTGATTAATTTATGAATTAAAAATGACTCACCCACATAGCAATCCCCTGTCAAGGACTGCTCGGTAAAGTGGTTCCCACGTCATGGCAAATGTCCGAATTAAAAAAAACCAACCTTTTCGGCACCTTTCCTTGGCATTTATGTCTTTGCGCTCTGATTGTGACTGATTGGCTCGGGAGCGTTCGAAGAGGGTAGACAACAATCACTCACTGAAATTGTGTGAAGGACTTGAAAAGCCATTGAAAGCATTCCATTTGATTTAATTATCAATCCTGACAGCAGTGCTCGGGAATTGATCCGATAGCACGGATATTTTTATGTTTCATGATTGCAGTCGTAGGAAAAAAAACTGCATTCGACAATTATTTCCACATGAGCTGTTGCCAACGAGCGGATGCATTAATCGTCGGTTTCATGCAACACTGGCACAAATCAAATTTAAAATAGACGCATTAATATTTTTCTGGAGACGTCATGCCTGGATTGAAATGTTGTGTCAATCCACCGCTAGAGGAATGTACGGCTTTTGAAAATAAAAAAGTTTGTGGTTAGAGTTTAAGGTGATAAAAAATTAAATTATATGGATAAAACGAAAAAATGCGGAAATGGATGTAATGTCGGCCTAAATGCCCCTAATTTGGGCCCATACATAAATTCAGCAATCGACGCGTTCATCTAGTTAAAATTGATAGATAGTAGATTTTCAGCGATGGGCCCAATCTTAGATCCATAGGCCAGCATTAGAGCAATTTCCCCCATATTTTGAGTTGTGCCAGTGTCGCATGAAACCGGCGTCGAAAAATGTATGCGCGTTGGTTGAATGCGTGCGCCCATCAATTTAAAACAATGGACATTGAATTGGCATTGGAAGGATAAATCCAGCAAAATCCCAATGCCTTTTTTTTGCGTATGGAGTAATATATTTCACGCATTTCTATAAATATTACACTGGGCAACAGAAGAGTTTGATTTTAAATAATGCTGGAGGCTTAAACATTTAGTTTGTTCATGGAAAGTCTTGCGGCTGGGAGACGACTTTGGATTTTCTCAATATTGATTTTGCAAAATCGAACAGAGTTGTACTGTAATTTGTTTGTTTGTGTAGTTTTTTTATTTGGGTGTGCGAGATGAATGCTTTCTCGCTTCTGGGTTTCCATAAAATAATAAACCATTTGTTCCCTGAATTACTAAGCATTACAATGCAGATTTTCACAGTATGCAACTTTAATATTGATTGAAATTATTGTAGTAAAAAATGTTGGTTTTGGTTGTGATTTGTATTTGCGGGAGACTTTTAAAGTACACACAAAAAATAATCATTTCTAAAATTAAAAAAACCATTGGTCAAATTAAAAGTTTTCGTTGGTTCTTTTTGGTAGAAAGTCCGAAGCATTCAGAATAAAAATGTGTAGCCTGTCAAATCAAAAGTTAAGCCCCTCGTTAATTTTAAAAGTTGAAGCTTTCGAATCAAAATGTAGAACTGTCAAATGAAAAACCAATGCTTTTAAAATAAAGTACAAAATGTTTCAAATAAAAAAGGTTTTTTTTTATCATGACAATATATGGTTTATCTCAAATTTGAAATATTATCAGGTTAATAGTTTTCAAGATTAAAGACAAATACCCTTACTCATATTTGTACCATTTATAAAAATTGTCTTTATTCATATACTTTGTATAGAAAATGAAAATACATCATTGTTTTTGGAACCAGTGCAGATTTCGTCCGAGTCCTAGGATTCAAATGCCATCAACACCGATGAAAGAACACCACCTGCCACTGGAAACGACCACCACCCGAACTAGAT